CTAAGTACAATCAATGCAGAGCGAGCCCGGGTCGGGTAACGGGCCTGGGGGTCCGCAGGAACAGCTGAGGATAGAGCTGGGGCAACCCCACCCGAAGACGCCCTGAGCTCCCCTTCCAGAGCGCAGGAAGTGGTCAGTGCCCGAGGGAAATAACAGTTGCCAGGCCTCTGGGTCGGACTTAGGTGAGGAAGGGGGAGGTCTGGCCACAGCGCTGGCCCTGTTCGAGCGTGCACACATGCACACATGTACGCACGCACGCACACACGCATGCACACTTGCTGTGCTCCCTCTGCACAGACATGCTCCCGCTCTCTGCAGTTTCTACCACCCAGCAGGCGAGTATCTTCCTATGCTCTCTCCTGGACTGGATCCTTCAGGAATGCGGGTTCAGTTTATACGACAGACTTGGGAAGCCCTACTATGGGCTAGGTACCTGGAAGGAAAGGTACCTGAGCTGGAAGGAAAGAAGGGAGGGGTTGGGAAGAGGAGCAATGTGTGCAGAGAGGAAGGAAGGGAGGGAGGGAAGGAGGAACAGAGGAAAGAATGGTAAGAAGCTATGTGTGCACAGACACACAAGCCCACGGTCACGCACACCAGCCTGTGTGTGTGAGTTTCTGCTGGAGTTGAAGGGCCCCCAACATCTGCCCCAGGGCAGAGTGCTGTTACACAGAGGAGAGCATTCTCTGACCGCCCTGACTTTCGGTCTAAACAAATGTACTTGAGCCTGCAGCAGAAGAAACGTGGATGGGACGATGAAGCGTCACAGCTGGGCAGCACCAGTCACTCTGCCCTCCTTCACGCAGGAGGGAGCCTGAAGAGCAGGGAGGCCAACAGCACGGGCTGCCTGGGTTCCAATCCCAGCACCGCCACTTACTGGCTATGTGACCTTGGGCAAGTGACCTAGCCTCTCTGAGCATCAGTTCAGTCTTTTCACAAGACTAAGTAATGAAGACAATAGAGCCTACTTTGCAGAGCAAATCGTAAGAATGAAATAAGAACGCCAGTACAGAGCTTAAGAGAGCACCTGGCAGGTAATCAGCACTGAACGCATCTCGGCTGTTATGTTTCTGAGGCTGAAAGAAATTGGGAAGCAGCTAGACTGGGACCCAGCCAGGGGCTTGGACCCCTGGCCAGTCACTGATCCATACTCGTGTATCTGAGCAGGTCCTTCCAGCCCCCAGGCTTGGGATGCTCTTGGCCCCCTTTCCTGTTCCTTCTGCCCCTCTCTTTCCCCTCCACGCAGGGCCTGGCACCCTGCCTCCACAATCCCCTCCAAGCCGGGACCAAGGCTCCTGGCCTCCCTGCTGCTCGCCTCCCACCCATCTCCCTGGGGCTGGCTCCCCTCCCTCCGCTGTGACCTAAGCTTACTCAGCTGACCCACCCCGGCCAGACCACAGGAGCTCAGACCCCTAAAGCCTGCCCCTCCCAGCTTCCCCAGGAAGCCCCTCTGTGGTTGGGGGACTGCAGGGAGAAGGGATGCCGGGCAGGTGCCAGGGTGACCCACATGCACCAACCTCTCGGTACACCCCGCCACAGGACGGCCACCTCAGCCCGTCACCCGCGGCTCTGTGTCCTGCCGGCCTCAGTCTGGGCTTTAGGATTGCCGTCTTGTGAAGGGGTCTAGCTCACTCTCGCTTTCTTTTGCATCTTATCCACAAAATATTCCCTGAGCACCTACTCTGCGCTAGTCGGGCCCTGGGGCCCTGCCCTCCGGGCGCAGCAGTGGGGCTGGGTATTATCCACACCAGTGCTCCTCAGGGTGGGGGGCGGGGCCCATCCCCACAGCGCCTGATTTGCAGGTCCGGGGCGGGGCCAAGCATTTGCATTTCTAACTTTTCCAGGTGCTGCAGGCCTAGGAATCACATTTTTAAAATGGTTACATAAGTTTCAAGTGTAGGACATTATAGTTCTATATCTGCATACATCCCCAAAAGTCTAGTCAGTGCGTATCCCCATACAATTGTCGCCCTTCCCCCCCTTCCCCCACCCACCCCCAACCTCTCTACCCTCTGGTAACCAGCGATCTGTTCTCGGAGTTTGTTTTCGTTTTGCTTTGTCTGTTCAGTATTTTTTTTTAAAGAATCCACATCTGAGTGAAATCATATGGTTTTGTCTTTTCCTTTCTGACATATTTCACTTAGTTTTATACCCTCGTGCACCCTTAGGTTCACTGCAGCATTACGTACAGAAGCCAAGAAACAACCTCAGCGTCCACCTTTGGGTGAATGGATAGGAGTCACGTTCTGAGGACCACTGGTCCACAACGAATGGGGGTTCAAGGCAGGCTGAAGGATGGGCTTTGATCAGAGAAGGGGAGAGAAAGTTAGGGAAAGGGCTCAGCAGGCAGAGGAAGCGGCAGAGACAAAGGCCTGGCGGCTCCAGGAAGTACTGGAGTGAAAGGTGAACAGAGGCGGGGCCCAGAGGGCGGCTGGGAGGGCACGTGGGGCCAGCGGGTGGCCACACCCCTTCCCTCTGGCTCCCAAGCAGTTGCTTTGTGCCAGGCACCCCTGGCAACCCTGCCAGGCTCCTTGAGCTCCAGCCCAAGCCCATGGTCCCCCTCTGCAGCAACAAGGCAGCCCTGGCCCGGGCCTGGCTCTCACAGGCCACTGTGGGCGGCTGTCGGTGTCCTCACCCACCCTCCCAGGGCGACTCCCCGGAGCTTCGGGAGCCAGCCTGGAGGTGCCAGGGACCTGTGCCAGGTGAGCCGGCATGCGTGCTGTGGGCGTGCCCCGGCCCCTGTCTACCAGCTCACTCTATCTGCACCAGGATCTGGGCCCGGGTGTGTGTTTGTTGCCGCTGGAGCCTGCGCAGTTACTATGGGTGGATAATAATAGCAATCGTAATCCCTCATAATTGGACCAGACTTTGCTGTCTGCAGGGCACTTCGATGCCCATGACCTCATCTGACTTCCACAACCGCCCTGCAGAACAGGCGCAGCTAGAGTTACTATCCCCATTACACAGCTGAGCAAGCGCGAGCCCTGACGGCCTGGAGTCCCATCTCCAGTGCGGGCCTGGGACCTGGGACTGCTGACTCTTCATCCAGTGCTCCTCCTCTGTTCCAAACTGACGTAACACAGCGCCCATCTGCTGCTCTCCACGGGAGGGGCCGGGGCTCTGCCGCCCAGGGCAGCACAGGCCAGTACCAGGAGGGATTTGGTTCAGCTGTCCCCTCCTTCCCCACCTGTGGGGGGGCAGCTGAACACCCACTGCAAGTACATGGGCACAAAGCTGTGTCAGTACCAGCCAGGACCTCAGACCAAGGGAGGAGGGTCAGGGTCACCTAATCCAACAGAGGAGCAAAGCCAGGTTCAAGGAAGGCAGGGAATTATCCACGGCCACAGCTGCCACTCGAGAGCACAGGTGGCCACAGATGGCCCTGAGCCTGCGGTGGCGGGGGCTGGGTCTGCCGTTGCCTGAACCCGGGTGGGACTAGCCCAGAAGACCCGTGGGGTAACCTGGACCACCTCCTCTTTTTCTGTGGGGTCAAAAAGATGGCAATGACCTGTGTGTACACCCTAGAAGCCCTGGCCAGCCAGCCGCACCACACGTTTCCTCCCCAGGTTGGTGGGCAGGCAGCCTTCCAAGGCACGCAGTAGGTTTCCAGGCTGGGAAGGCAGGTGTCTGGACTTCATGCTTGTGTGTGTGTGTGTGCGCACGTGTGTGTGTGTGTGTGTGTGTGTGTGTGTCCCTTCCAGGACCCACACAGGCGGGGTGCTGTCTTTCCCACAGACCAGGCTCCCATCTGGACCCACCACTAAGTAGCTGGGTCAGCTTCCTCATCTGTCAACCAGGGCCATTTGTCCTTGCCCCACTTGCCACAAGCATTGTCCTAAAAGGACTAAATAAATGGAAACCACCCAGAAAACCAAAATGCACTCTGAAAAGGGCAAGCCCAGGAAGGAGCTGAGCAGGGAGCGGGTCTCGAAGCTGCCCCTGCCAGAGGGCCAGCAGAGCTGGCACCCTCAGGGTGCTCAGGGCCCCACATCTGGGAGCAGGGGTCCACCCTGGTTCCAGAAAGACAAACCGTGCCCCATGAACATGCCCTGATGCCATCAAGAACCACCACCCCTCAGGGAAGCAGGACCAGGCAGAGGGAACTGTGGGGACCAGGGCACGACAGATAGGGCACCCCAGGAAGGACTGTGGCTGGCACAGCTTCTCCAAAAGGGAGGTGGCAGGGTTTACTCTTCCACTGCTGGGGGGCTTTGCCTGTAGGTGGACACAGCCTGTTGGGGCCCAGCAGGGACTCCCACCAGCTTGCTGTGACCCCCTCTACCCGACTGAGGCCCACCCAAAAGAATGGTGAAGGGGTCACCCCTCACAGAGCTCTGAAAATGAGGAAGTCACTAGCTCCATGGGCAGAAGTGACACTTGCTCAGAGCGTGGGGTGGGGGCGGGGGATAGGAAGTCACCATCTCCACGATGACTGATGTCACCCTGAGCAGCCGGCACACCGCAGCCCTGTGCCCGTGCCAGACGGGCAGCCCTAACGCGGCCTCACGCCCACCAAGTCCCCCCGAACTTGTCTTTGGCCTTCCAGAAGCTAGTGAACACCCTGGGGAGGCAGAGGCAGCTAAAGCAGGTAAAGTAAGAGACTCACCCAAGGACACAGCTAGTAAAAGGCCAACCCCAAAAGGAACCCATGTCTGGGGACGCTGCAAGGCTGACCTAACAACCACACAGACCTAGGGTTTGAACCCCTGCTCAAACACTACGGGGGTGGGGGGCGGCGGGGATGGAGGGTGAAGGGGAGACTCAGGACCTGGAACCTGACCACCGGCTCAAACTGCCCCTCTGCCACCAGAATCTGACCTCTCCCTCCAAGCCTGTTTCCTCATCGCCAACCAGGGCTGCCAGTCCTCCCTGCGCCTGCGTGAAAGCTGAGCTGCGCGGTCCAGTGCTCAGCACGTCGGGGCTGCGGCAGCGGTGACTTGGGGACGGGCCCTCCCCCGACCTGGGCTCCGGCTGGAAGGTCTCCGGCAGAGCCAGCAGCTCACCTTTCGGTCCTCCTCCCGCTCCAGGGCGGAGCTGCTGGTGTCGCCGGGGCCGCTGGAGGGCATCGCGGGCAGCTGGGCGGTGGGAGGCAGGCTGGGACTGCACGGGGCTGGGGGGCCACTCCGCCTTGGGGAAGGAATTCTCGTGGTCTTCGTAAGCAGTTACAAGTCAGACATAGATCCGGGTGCCGAGGGAAAAAGTCCGGGGAAACTCGGCCTCAGGCTGCCTCTGGGCGTGGGTTTCTGATGGCTCCACCTGTGGGGGGAGAGAAGAGGGGTCAGCAGGGCAGCGAACCCCCCGGCCCAGGCCCCGCCTGGTCCCCACCTCCTCCTCAAGGCTGGGCCCTCAGCCCCAGAGCCCCGCAGGCCTTCAAGGCCCGGTCCTCCCCCTGCCTGGCCTGCTCGTCCCCGGTGGGCTCACCGGCAGCTCGGGCCGGCCCAGCAGCCAGAGAGCGGAGGAGACGGAGGCGCAGCACCGCCTGGCTTCCTTCAGGGCCACCTGCCTCTGAGACGGCGACAGTCCACGCTGCCACGCTGCCACGCTGCCAGTGGGAGCCACGTCTGCTCTTTCCTTTGAAAGCTTCCCGCACCCCTCCCACCCCAACCACCCCCTGGGAAATCCCAGAGGTCCCCAGCCCAGCTACATTTTCCTTCCAATCTGTCCCCCGCTCGTGCCACCCCCACACCGCTGCTACCCCACGTGGCGGAAGTGAGCGGCAGTCACAGGATGTAGTGAAGCGAATGTCACTGCGCGTTGGGGCCGGCGCTCGGGCCCAGAGAAAGCTGAGGCTGAGCACGGGGCCGTGGCCGGGCTGAAGGCCTCGGGCGGTGCTGCTGTGGGGCAAGGTCGCTGTGGTGGAGAGAGACCAAGGCCACAGCCATGCAGAGGGGGGATGCGAGGCCCCTTTCTCCGCCACCCCGTTTGCCTTCAGAATCTGGTGGGCTTAAGGGGGGCCCTCTGAACACACACAGCTGAGTTTTAGGGGATTTTCCTCCCCCCACTGCCTCAGGTGTGGGCCTCCAGCCAGTGAAGTAACAAAGCCAAGGGCCTCAGCTGGGGCTCGGGGTGCTGCGGCTGCAACTCCCTTTACACAAGAGACGGAGCTCCGCTCCCCACCCACCAGGAGATGTGGGCCGAGCCCCTGCCTCCAGAGCGAGCCCTGCCTCCAGAGCGCCAGCCAGGGCCGGGGAGGGGACTGGCAGGAGAAGGAAAGTGGGAGGCAGCCTGGATCGGGGCCCACCCACACCCTTCCCCTTTGAGTTCCTGTTCTGCTTCCCTAGGCTCCCCCTCCTCCTAGGGCTTCTCCTCCCATCCCCCTCCTGCTAGGCTCCCTGGAAAACCAGGAAGTGGAGAAAGCACAGGCTTGGGTCTCCCAGGGGCACGGCACCTAGTCTAGGGACGGGTGCCTGGCTGGGGGGTGGGTGTCCCGGTCCTGGCTCTGCCCAGGGTGAGGAGGGGGAAGCTGAAGCCGGGGAGGGTGGGGGAGCCTCCTTCAGGCCAGGACACGAGGGGCCCTACAAGCTAAAACCCAGGTAGGCTGCAAGTGCCGCCCTCCCTGCAGGTGAGCCCTGGGAAGCCCGAGGTGAAATGCACACCTCCAAGCCTGGCGGGGTGCTGGGCCCCATGGATGTCTGCTCCTCCAACACGGGAGGGAGTCCATGGCAATGGTGAGAGGGGCTGCAAGTGTCGGACGCTGTGCTAAGCACGTGACAGGCACTCTTCCTCTGGGCAGCTACTAGGACCATCACTATCCCTAGTTGACCGTTGCATCTAGGCCCCAAAAGGTAAGGACTTGCCCTGGTCGGGTGGCTCAGTTGGTTGGAGCATCATCCACACACCAAAAGGTTGCAGATTCGATTCCTGATCAGGGCTCATAGCTAGGTTATGGGTTTGATCCCTAGTCAGGGCACCAACGGAAGGCAACAGATCGATATATATATATTTCTCTCACACCAACGTTTCTCTCCCTCTCCCCCTTCCTCTAAAATCAATAAACATACCCTCAGATAAGGATGGAAAAAAGGAAGGTTAGAACTTGTCCATATTCAGTGTCGGGGCAGAGACTTGAATCCAGACCTCTCTAAAGCTCCGAGGGGGTCTCTGTGAAGCTCCACCCCTCAGCTTACAACCCCCCCCCCCACAAAGACAACTCTGGAGAGCCCACTCGAGAACTGGCCCAAACCAGAGCTCCGTGAGGACTCCACGAGGCGTCCATCCACTATAAACCAGCAGTTCCACCTCGAACCCACTCCATTTGTTAACACAAATATCCCCAGGCACCCCCACGTCAAAACCTTCAAAAGGATGTGGAAGCTAAAAGGCAGAGTCTGGTGAGGTAGGACCTTGAAGCCGCAGTCCCAGACGTGGGTGCTAGTCCCAACTCGGGCTTCTCTGGCCCTCTTTCCTCGTCCTTACAGCTGGAGAGTCAGACTAGATAACTCACGAGATGTCTTCGACCTCAGCCCTGCCCAGCTGTGGGAGGTCCCAAGGGCAAAAGACAGCCCCAGGAGCCCCCAGCATGGAATAATCCAAGGAGCCCCAGGCACAGAGTAAGAGGCAAGTAGTGCTGCCCTAAGGCCTAGAAACAAGCAGGGGCTTCAGTGAGAGGAAACCACTTTCAGTGAACCTCTGGCTGCTGGTGCGAAGAGGAAGGAAGCAGCAGGGAAAGCAGAACATGGTGAGGCCTTGACCCCGATGCAGACACCCCGGAAAGGAAAGGAAATGCTCTTTCCTCCTCCCCTTCCTCCAGATACCTGCTAACGTCTGAGCTGCACACTGTCCTCACAGCACACGCCGCTGACCCGAGTCCACCTCGGGGTTCCTCCATGCTACTCACTGGGACAGACCTGTCAGCAGTGCCCCTCGTGATCACCCGGCATCGTCCGGAACCACCCAGCCCTCGGCCAGGCAGGCCGCACATGGGCATGGCCCCGGGGGCCCACTGTGGGGGCCAAGCCCTTCCCACCCAGCCCGAGAAGCTTCCCTTCCTCTCTCAGGTATCCCTGCCGAGGGGAGTGACCTGCCCCGGGTCCACAGCCCCCACCCAGCGGCGTGTGTCCGCCATGACGGTTCTCTGCCACGCACGGCTCTGCCACGCACGGCCCTGCCGCTCCTGGCACTGAGGCCCCCTCCGCACCCACGCCGCAGGCCGCGCCACAACCACCACCAAAGAAAAATCCTTGCCAAGCCTCTACCTCCGTGAAAGGCAGCTTTTATTTCCTTCTGGAAACTTCTAATGTCCACAGGGGCCATGAAAAATGTTTATCACAACTGCTTTAAAAAATTGTTTTTAAGGAATCCCATCCTGAAAATGTCTTGGTATCACCACCGACGTGGTCACCATCATTACCATTTTAATGACAAAGCTCCTGCGGAAAAAGAGTTGGGATTTTGAACATCCACACCAAAGCTCGCCACCTTCTAAATCCAACTGAGTGAGTGGACAGTTTTTTCAAGTAAAATGTCAAAGTCCCAGATTGGGCTGGAGAGAGAGGGGAGACGCCACCAATGAAATTCTGGAGTCTGGAAAGCAGACTCCCGATTTCAGACAGCTCATGAAAACGGACTTACAACAAAGTCCCTAACAGACGTCGACACGATAGCAGCAGGTACCTCCAGGACCGGGGCTGGAGAGGATGCGTGTGTGAAAATAAAGAGGATGGAATCGAAGAAGCAAGCCCCCTCGACCCGCCTCCCCCAGAAGTCTGAGGGCTGTTCCCTGGAGAGAAGAAAGCAGAGGGCTTGTGCAGGAAGGGTAGCCTAGCCGGTTGAAGAGCGAAGGTTAATATTCCAAAACCACGGGGATGAAGATTGTTATAAATGTGATGTCGTGTCCTACCGGCCCCCCCGCCCCCCCCACTGGGCTCCTAGAACACTGGCAGCCGAACCTAACCTTCTTTTTGAAAAGGCCTAAGGGGGCAGATACCGACCCCAGAACCGAAACGGTGTGCTACTGGCTTACTTAGTACTACCAGTGGATCAGGAAGTCCACAAGTCCCCGGTTCTTAACCTGGAAAGGACAGGCAGGGAGACATCTCGGGGAAGGCTCCAACTTGGAAGACAGAGACCAGGACAAATAAACCAAAACCCAAACAAAACCAAACACAGCCTGGAGGAAACACGCTTGCTGCCCAGGGACGGTAACTCCATTCATGAAAAAAAGAATGTGATGCTATTAAACCAGGACATTCCAAGAACATATAAGGACTCCTAGAAAGAAAAAACTGTGCTAGCAGAAATACAAAACACAACAGAAGAGGAATGTTAAAGAGAAAAGTAGAAAATAGGAGAGGATGGGAAAGAGAATTACAAAACTGGTCCAGAGGTTTCTATATCTGAAAAGTAGAGGAGTTACAAAAGAAAAAAAAAGGGGGCGGGGATTACCAAGGAGGTAACTTGAGAGAATTTCCCAAGACTGACAGACGCAGGTCACCTGACTGGAAAGGCCCCTGAGGGTCCTGCACGGTGGATGAAAACAGACCCGCGCCAAGGCGCATCGTGGTGACAGTTCGGATCACTGGGGCCCAGAGGAGACCCCGCGTGTTTCCAGAAAGAGAGGAAGACTGACCTGTAGCGGCTGGGGAGTCAGAATGGCTTCAGGCTGCTCAACGTTAATATGAAAAGCAAGCAAACAAAGGACTGATACACTTGAAATTCTTAAAATAATTCTCTAATCGGAACTCTTTACCCAGCCTAATTATCACTTAAGTGTGAGTGTAGCATAAAGATATTTTCAGACACTCCTTTCTCGGGAAGCATGGGAAGACGTCCTCCAAGACACAGGAGAACAGACAAGGGAGGAAGCCGTGGAGGGCCGCTGTTCGGGCCTCAGCTGTGAGACTCGGGAGTCGGGCATGTGCAGGGCTGCCATCCCCGTGCCCTCTCCCCTGGAACCACCTGGAGCCACCTGTCGTGCCTGACAGAACCACCTGTGTCACCCACTGTTTGCTCTCGGCCACCTGAACTCAGGAACCGAACACGCATGTGCATGTTGACAGGTGTCTGTTCTGGATGATGTGCTCCCGAGGGGCGAGTACACCAGGCAAGAGGAAGACGCATGATCCAGAAAGCACTCCGACAAGAAGGAAGGGGAGGGGAGGCCAGGGCCGACGACACAAGGAGGTGGCAGGACAGCAGCCAGTGGAGAGCAAGAGAACGGACAATAGGGAATGGAACTGAAACACAACACTTGACGTGACTGCCCTGGTGGAAAGCAATAATAAAGTTACTACGAGGTATAGTCCGTTACCAGAAGGTATAGCAGAGACTAGCAGAAGGCACCCAGGAAATACCCCTAATGCTGGGCTCAGTGGGTTGAGCTTTGTTCCCCAAAGCAAAACGTTGCCAGTTGGATCCCCGGTCAGGGTGCCCGAGAGAGACAACCTAACCTTCCTCCCCATCTCTCTAAAAATAAGTAATTTTAAAACTTTTTTAATTAAAAAAAAAGAAAGAAAACAAGGCAGGTGAAAACACAGGTGCATCATTAATTTCGGGGGAGACAAAAAGAAAGTTAATGGTGGCAGTACACGAAGAGGCTCAGCTACACTAGCTGATTTAATGCAGAAAACAGTGGTGTATGTTGATGTGACAAATACATGTGTATTTGTCACACGTATACACACGTGTATTTACGTATGTATGTGAATGATACTACTGAATATGTTAATTTCCTATTCGCTGTTGTTACAAAGGAGCACAAAATGAATGGCTTAAAACAACCCGAATGTGTTATCTTGCAGTTCTGGAACTCAGAAACCCAAAGTGGTTCTCCTCACCGGGCTAAAATCAAGGTGTTGGCAGGTCTGCATTCTTCTCTGGAGGCTCGAGGGGAAATCCATTTGCTTGACTCTTTCAACATCTAGAGGCTGTGCACATGCCTTGGCTCATGGCCGCTTCCACCGTCACAGCCAGCAGTGGCCAGTCCCCCCTGACCCTGACCCTGACCCTGACCCTGACGCTCCCGCCGAGGCACTCCTCTGCCCCCACTGCCCTCCCATCTCTTTCTCTGCCTCCCCTGCCCCAGTCTTTCCCTTCTAAGGACCCGCGTGATTCCATTGGGCCCCCCCAGATAACCCCGGAAAATCTCCCATCTCAAGACCCTTAACCTTATCACACCTGCAAAGTCCCTTTTGCCACATAAGGTACCATGTCCACAGGCTCGGGGAATTAGGATGTGGCTCTTTTGGGGGGGTGGGTGCTATTCTCCCACCCACTATATGCATACTTATATTGATGTATGTATAAACTATAAACTATTTTTTGAGCCCTGGCCGGCATAGCTCAGTGGATTGAGTGCGGGCTGCGAACCAAAGTGTCGCAGGTTCGATTCCCAGTCAGGGTACATGCCTGGGTCACAGGCCATGACCCCCAGCAACCGCACATTGATGTTTCTCTCTCTCTCTCTCTCTCTTTCTCCCTCCCTTCCCTCTCTAAAAATAAATAAAATCTTTTAAAAAAAACTATTTTTGGGGATTACTTATTTATTTATTTTTAGGGAGAGGGGAAGGGAAGGAGAAAGAGAGGGAGAGAAACAGCCATCAGTTGCATGTGCCCTGACTGGGAATCGAATCAGCAAACTTTCCCTTTGCGGGACGATGCCCAACCAACTGAGACACACCAGTCAGGGCGAGAACTAAAGTCTCCTTTACTAAATAGGAAAGCGATGAAAAATGTCTAAAATGGGGGAGTCAAAAATATGCATATTACTCAGATATTAAGTGTACAGCTGCTAGAAGAAATAGCTAAAAGTGGCTGCCTCTGAGGAGAGGCTGGGGCGGGGCGGGGGGGGTGGGGGAGCAGGCCAGGAACACCCGCGTTTGGTGAAGAGGTGTTAGTACTATTCGACTTCTTAGCTTAGATGCATGTGCTACTGCGAGGAAATTTAAAAAATAATACTTAAAAGGAGAGGATGGGGCTAGGCGTGAGCGCTTGCACCCCACGGCGACCGCGTTTGGGCGTGGCCTCCGCCCCCTCTGCAGAGCGCAGCCGCGGCCCTGCCACCTCTCGCTCTATGAAACCATCACATCCCACAGAACAACCATTATCAGCTCCTCACGCCCACACAGAGTTCCGTCACCAGCTATAAAGTGGTACCTCCCCCTCTGCCCCAACACACGCCCCTCACAGAACGTTTAATTCTTGCAAGACGTCATTTCCACCCAGCCCAGTCAGGCAGCATGTGGCGCTCCCCCACACACGCATCCCCCCCAAACTGTACCTGCGCCTGCCATTGCTGCCTACGGCTCCAGTCACCACCCTAGCTCACTCATCAGTCCACCGCCTACCAAAGGCCCGCAATGCAACCCTCTGCTCGGCCCATGCTGTGTCAGCTCCCAGCCTCACCCCTACACTGTCCCTCGTGCCATCCCTACCTTCCTCGCCAACCTCAGGCCCATTAGCGCCCCCAAGCTGGTCACCTCAAGTCCCGCCTCCTGGCATAATCCAACCAGCAGCAACTAGACTGTCACCCCACAGTCTCACCTCCACAAGAGCCTGCAGAGAACTATCTTCTCCCAGAAACAAAACCACAAGTGCCCACAAACCTGACTCCTTGCTCCACCAAAAACAATCCTAATGTTCTCACCATAAGGGCCCCTTGCACTCCACCTCAAGTCCTCTATCTGAATTGCTGAAAAACACTGGCCATCTCTGTAGCAGCTCCTTCTTCCCTCTACCTGGTCTACTTTTCTCACACTGGACTTTGCTTGTTTGAGTGTTTGTAATTACCTTCCCCTCCTTCCCAGGGGCGTGCTGGTAGTTGGTGCTAACCCAACCCCTCACCTTCGGCAGAGTGAGCACGTGACCAAGCAGAGCCAATCAGAGGCCTCCCAGGATGATTTTGGTGCCATGGAAAGATGCTAATATGGTAGGATGTGAATCAGGAGCTGCTGGCTGCTCGCCTGAGAACAAAGGGATAGAGACAGACGCATGGAACACTCAAGTCATTGTCTGGGTCCCCGGATCTAGCTGTACCTGGACGGAAGGCATCTGTCACCCTCCCTGAGTGTGAGTGAGTCTGTGCCTTGTGGCTGACAGTCCTGACTCATGTGCTGATCGCAACCTCCTGCCGTCCTTCCCGGGAGGCCCACTGCGGGGGGTCCAGTCCTGGCTGCCGGGTGGTGATTACTTATCATCTGTGTGACCTGAGGCGAAACTGCGCCTCAGTTTTCTGAGCTGTAAAACGGGAAGAATAATAGCAGCCACTTCCCAGTGCTGTTGTGAGAATTAAGATGAAAGGCATTAAACACGCTGACAAGAGAGCCTGACACACACACATACACACAAAACATACTCCATAAATTTTAACAATTAGTCGCTCCTGACTCATCCAGCCCACAGCTTTCTCTTCTTTCTTGAGATCCCTGGAGTGCCGAGGGCGCATTGCTCCACGGAATACGGGCTTATCACGCTCCTACGGCATGCTGGGTCCTGTGAACAGAGCTTTACAAGTTCAACATCCCCTTCACCCTCACCCCTTGCTCCCACCCTCTGGAGTGAGTGCTGCTTTTACCCCCATTTTCCGGTTGAGAAAAAAGAAGTATAGTGAGGTCGATGAAACTGCATGAGGTCGTCCAGTCAGGACGTGGTACAATCAGATACAAAACCAGGTCTGCCCCACCCCGAAATCCAGCCGTCCACTCCATCATGATCTCTTACAGCCAGCACATGACTGTTGCAGCCACGTTACCTTTGACCATGAATTGGCCAGAGAAAAAATTTCCAGTTAGTCTCCGTCTCCTGGTTAGGTCTGTCTGCCATGGGGGCAGGAGCAGGGGCGGTGACAGACGGGCACACAACCTCATAATCAGTGCCCCGGCCAAGGTGGGAATCATTCATTCATTTATTTGTTCAATTATTTACTGAGCACCTACTACGTGCCAGGCATCGTGCTGGGGGTGTACATTGTCCTATACCATTTTAATAACAGTCCTGCGAAGTTTATGAAGTAGGTTCTATGGTTATCTCATAAGAGAAACTGAGGCTTAAGGAGGTTTGTTACCTCTCCAAGGTGGCCCCGGTAGAGAGTCCCAGGGCGGGGTGGCAGATCCAGGTGCATCCAACTCTGGAGTCTTTACTCGTTTGGTGGCACTCAGTCATGGGTAAGCGTGCTAAGCACAGACCCCAGATCATCATCTGCCTGTGACCCGGGTGCGACGCCAGCCCACAGGTAACAGCCTCATGACTTTCCTATTTGAGCTTGGGAGGACGCACGCCTGAGTCCTGTGGGCGACAGAAGGCAGGGGAGTGTCTTGTGCCCACGTCGCCCAGTCATCTGCCAGCGTGGTGACGAGCTCCAGGCCTGGCACGCTGGGGGCGGCAGCACGCCGACGGGAGACACAAGGGCCTCCCAGACAGAGATGCCTATCTGCCACAGCCTCCCTGTCACAGGACCGGAGCTGAGCGAGGAGGAGGAAGAGGTCCCAGGACCACTCTCTGACGGCTTATTCTCTCTCAGCACGAGGGAGGGGCCCCTCGTCACACCCTGCTCTGACTTTTGGAGATGTCCCTCCCACCCAAACCACCAGCTGCCTATAGAACACCAAAGGCCACCGGTGACGGGCCGCCGATCCTGCCATCCTGTTCCCCTCTTCAAAGCCCATCTGTCTGGGTCTGGAGGCACAGCCAGATGACTGGTGGCTCTCCCCGCTGCCCCCCCCACTGCGAGGCCAGGGTGCCACCAACGTGAGGATCTGTGATCACACCAAAGCCACCACCATGACGGTGGCAGTGGCCACGGGGGCAGAGATGAGTTGAATCAGACTCTTCTGCTCCTACTAATGGTTACCATGACACAGCCCCAAAAGCAGAGAGGGGAAAAAAAGGTTTATACCCAAAATAGACACTGGTAAGAAGCAGAAGTCGTTCTCGAGAGCCAGCATGAGCCAGTGGAGACTTCCATAAAGGAGCCCGCGTGTCCAGGGGCGGCGGGGTCAGGAGAAGCCCTGTCGTGCATGCTGTGGCAGCAGGTGGGTCAAGGGCACAGGGCAGCCCGGCTGAAAGCCCGTGTGAGAGTCAACCACGGGGACCCTGATGGGGCTGGCGGTCTGGGGCTGCCACGGGCATGGGTCTGATTCTCTCCTCCCCTGGAGGCGGCCCATGGCCCATACCTGCGTGTTTCTCTGCTTCCCCAGCATTCTCTAAACGGAGTCCACACCCACCAGCTATAGAGCCGCTTCACGCGCCCTCGGGCCCTGCATCTGGTCCCCACCTCCCCACCCCACCCTCTATGTCTGAACCCCCTAGGGACACTGAATGTGGTGATCCCCAAAGGGGACACCACGGCGGCTCTGCTGGAAGACAAATCACCCACCTGGCTTTTCTGGACCCCCCTGGCCACTGACTCAACAGACAGGAAAAGGGGTCACTCCGCTGGCTGGAGCGGCCGACCCTGGCCCCCAAGGAGCAGCCGGAGCGCTGGCACACACCAGAGGCGAGGAAGACTGTCTGTGACCCGGAGACTCTCCGGTCCCTCTTAGAGCCTCCGTGCCCCAAAGCAAGGGTCAGCGGAAAACTACAGAAGCAAAAAAAAAAAACAAAACAAAAAAAAAAAAAAACAAAAAAACACAAAAACCGGGCCAGGGTGGGGAGAGGACAACTGAGTGGTTCAGATCCTTCGAGAACCAAGGTTTGGGTCACTCCCGCCTGACCTCTCCAGGTCCCGGCGGAGCACAGAGAACACACAGGGCAGGTGACGGAGGAAGGAAGCCGGATACCAAGCATGGCCTTGAGCAGAACTCACACGAGAAGCACAGCACGGGTGCGTTGTTTTCTCCTCACCTGATACATACGGGAATGTTTATTCGTGCCTGGCACCTGCTTTCTCTTCCCTCCGTCTTCCCACTATTTTATATACCAGTTATCGGAAGTTAACTCCACCCCCGAGTCTTTAGGGGACGGAGTATTTGGTGGGACTGGGACGGAACATGAGAAGTCCGTCGTGTCGGTAGTGACTGGCGCAGTGAGTAGTGAGACTCCTCACCTGGGGGAGAGGAAGGTAAAGTGTCCTTCGGCAAGAAGGGTGTTTTGATAGGTAGACATAGGGCTATTTGGTTGTTGCAGGGGAGCTCAAATGCGTGTGAAAGGCCGCAGTGGAAGCTGGGTAGCCAGAGCAGGAGACAGTGCCGGTAAGTTCATTCACCCCTCATTGCCTGCTCCACGGACACTGAGAGAGGCCCTTTCCAGACTTCTCCTTCGCCAGCTGGCGTGGGACACTGGCCAGAGGGGCACTAGGGAGGCACTGAAGAATGTCTCTTTTCCCTAGACCCAGGGTGCTCTCTCCAAGGGGCCTATCACCGTGTACAGCCCCTCCAGGGGCCAGATCCTGCTGTCCCTGTGGCTTCCCCAGTGCCCACTCCCACCCGGTCACAGCTTCCCCAGCACCCTGCAGCACGCGACTCCCCAGGGCCCAGCCCCTGCAGTGAGGGTGCTCCTCCAGCGCAGTGTATGACGTCAACAGCAGCCAGCAGCTTCGCCCACACTCCACGCGGGTAGGTTAGCATCAGTGTGCGCCAGCAAGATACTTCCTCATGAACAACTTTTCTTGGGACCCACAAGCATGGATTTCTAGTGGGCTCCAGGGGACAGGTTTCCAGCAAGTCCTGCCAGCATGGCACCACAGTGACCTCCCTGTCATCCAGGGAGCCACGGCCATGCCCTCTCCACTAAGGTCAGGATCTCAGCCCCAGGGGCCTCGCCCCTGGGCACTCCATGGGCACCCTGAGGGCAGTCTCACATGTGCCATTTCTATATTCATTGCTGGTTCTTTTAGCTTTTTACTGACCAATCTCTCCTTACACCAGTCGCCTGTTATAATCTATAAGCCTTCCTATTAGACGTTTCCTGTTCAAATCGCTGTGTGGTTTCTGCCTCCTGAATGGGCCCCGACCGACACAGTCACCCACAGCCTCAAATGGCCTTTGTGCATCCTCTTGGCCCTTGAGCTCAGTTCAGCGCCCTCGCCAGCCAGTCGCTGCCTGCTCCGAGCACTCACTCACTCATTTGTCGAGCACCATTGCCGGGCCAGGCACTGGGGTGCAGAGAGACCCCGGCTTCTGGAAGTTCACAAGCAAGCGGAGTCTCTGGCTCCCTTTCCCGTCCACGACAGACCGCACCTGGCTCCATGCTCCAGGCTCTCACAGGCCCCTCGGGCTCCTCTGCTCTGCCTCTTGGGCTGGCCGCGGTCTCACCCCTACGACTGCCCCGTGGACACCCCTCACGCACGGGACACGCTCTGCCGTCAGCTGCACTCTAGCCCTCCTCTGCTGAGGTGGCTGGGCTTAAATTAAAGCAGACTCCCTCTGCCACACCTCCACCTCCGTTTTCTGGACGCCACCATCTGGGTCACGTGCTGTCCCCTAAACTCCTGCTCTTCCAGACCCAGATGCCTCTCGTGTCCCCTGGCACCACCCTCCCCTCAGCTGCTGAAGCCCCAAGCCCCAGAGAGGACGAGGGTCCCACCTTCCTCCCAGTCCCCCCACTCCACTGGACACCTGGTCCTCCGGCCGCTGTCCCCCGCACTCCCCCCAGGCCCTCCGCACCGGAGGTCTAGGCCTTGGCAGTGACTCCGCAACAGGTTTCCCTGCCCCTGGAGTCTCTGCCTGCACCCCAGCCGCTTGGCAAAGATTTCCCACACACGGCTTCCTCAGTCAGAACCTATGATGCCCGATGAAAACGTGCTAAGGCTGATTGCAGCGACAGTCACGCAGCTCGACGAAGGGGTCAAAGTGCATGCTTTAAATGGGTAAATTGCATGGTATGTGAATTATGCTTCAATGAGCTGTTCTTGTTTATTTAAAGAAAAAAAAGCCTACGATGCCCGTGATTTTCAAGCATGGTAAAACCTAAACTCCAGTCTGGTCCTACCCTGGCGGCCTCAGCGATTGGCTGGGACCTTGCCGCCCGCCTCTCCCAGCAGATCCCGTCATTCCGGAGCCAGTCCCTGAACCCCAGCTCACGCCCCCTATTTCCACACTTGTGTCCAACTCACACCATCCTCTCTCCACTCGGGCTTACCCACCCCATCCCCCTCATCCCTTAGCAACACCCCACCCCCTCCATCGCTTCGCCTCAACCACACCCCCCAGGGTCTTTAACCAATTTCTGCTGGGTGGTCATTTGGCTTTTCATTTGTACATAGATGTGCCCGTTTCCCCACACAGATGAGGGCAGAGCGCATAACTTGTAGCTTCTGGCCCCCCAAAGCTCAGTGCTTCTCCCCCTCCTGCCGCACCCCTTCCCCGTGACCCCTGAGGCAGAGAGGACTGTGTGAAGTCACTCCCAGGCAGCTGCAACATCCCCAGCACAGTGCTGCGGTGCCCAGAGTGACCACCCACAGCCCCCGTTCTAGGGGCCGCTTGGCAGAGTCCCCCACGGCCCTGGGCCGATGGAAAGGCCCGCGGCGGGAGCTCCTAGGCTCTCAAGTCACCTTCCCTGGGTCAGGACGTACACCTGCTGTGGGGTGTGCAAGCCCCACCAGTCCCCAGGTGCCCCAGAACGAAGCGGGTCACAAGGGTCCCAGGTCAGGGTGCCAGTGACCACAGGAAGTGAGGGGGGGCTGGCCTCCCATCCCTCCAGGCCCTTGGAAGCTGAGTCCCTGGCTTGCCTGTGACCGCTCTCTCCCCACGGCAACCACACACACGCCTCCCTCACCTGCGCCTTTTGGCCCTCTTCCCTGACCAGCTGACACCCAGCTGGCCCGCCCCCAGGCCAGAACTAAGAGTCCCCCAAAGGGTCTGCAGGACCTGGGAGCTGCTGATGGAGCAGAGCCCCTCCTCACAGATGCAGGAAGAGCCTGTTGCTGTCAGAATCACCCACTGGCCTCCGGTTGGCTTCCTTCTCACCCTGGGCTCCAACCAACACCAAACCGTCTGCGGAGTGGGTCGGGGAGGAAGAACAGCCCCAGGGGGCTGGCTCTGCAACAGGGGCAGGTGCACAGGTCTGTGCAAACCAGAGGGATGTTGCATTCCACACTCAGATGGCCGGTGGTCCCCGCCCCAGCCCACACCCAGCCGGAGACAGCCTGACTGTGGCCCTGGCCTTCTCGCCAACAGCACCCCCACAGGAGCCCCCGCTGAGAAGCCATCCTCCCCCTCTGCCCCACCCCGGCACCCTCCTCCAGCCTCCTCCGGAAGGCAGAGATACTTCAAAGATCTCCCCAAGGGGCGGGGCGTGCCTGCTTGTCACAGGGTCCAACATACAGCCACGTGTGCCCCGCTCACAGA